AATTGCTGTTTTCTATGCACTGACTTTTGTTTCTCCCATTTTCAAGATGTGGACCCGAAGCCTGGTCTGAGCGGACTGAAGGAGCAAACTTTTATGGACAGAGCTGTGTGTATGGTTTCTTTATTAAAACGAGGCAACATGCCACATGCCGTCAGGTGCACATTGCACACTAACATTTCTCTCTTTTGCCCAGTTCACTCTACTCTGAGGGTCTGCATGCCTTTTGTCCCTGTGGACCCGAATCCTGGTCTAAACGGAAGGAAGTGCCAAACTTTTATGGACAGAGCTGTGTGAAAGAAGATGGGGAGGTGTGAGTATGGTTTCTTTATTAGCACGAGGCAACACTCCACATGCCACACACTTACACTCGCATTTCTCTTTTGCCCAGTTCAGTCTTTAATTGTAGCCGGCAACTTTAATCCCACGTTAAGCGTCACTGAAAAATTCTTCGTATCGTGTAGTTGAAAATGGCAAATTGCCCCACAGTTTTTTACACTTCAATGGACATATAGCTGATTGAAAGTTTTCTGCCAAAAAATCTGTTGGTCAATTTTCCCGCCAAAAAAAAAACTAATTGGCACCCTCACCTGGTTAATTAATTGGATTAAAGTTTTCCCGCCAAAAAACTTAGTATATGGAGCACTCTAACCTTGAACTTGTGCCCCCCTCCCCACTTCTTCCACAACTCACACAGTATGTTAGTTACACTGTTCCAACACTTTGGACATGTAATTTCTCCGAACACGTAGTCACCACACTTTTGCTACCCAAACACTTAGTTGATCGAGCACAGTTTTTCTGCCACAACAACTTTAGAATTATCTCCTGCTCTCCTGGTCAGTCAATTGCACTGGTATACTGATGTTTCGAAGCATCATTGTCTCCGGAAAGACATCCCACGGGGAGTACACTTAGTGCATTGATCAACCAGGAGAGCGGAAGATTATTCTAAAGTTGTTGTGGCAGAAAAACTGTGCTCGATCAACTAAGTGTTTGGGTAGCAAAAGTGTGGTGACTACGTGTTCGAAGAAATTACATGTCCAAAGTGTTGGAACAGTGTAACTAACATACTGTGTGAGTTGTGGAAGAAGTGGGGAGGGGGGCACAAGTTCAAGGTTAGAGTGCTCCATATTAGAGTGCTCCATATACTAAGTTTTTTGGCGGGAAAACTTTAATCCAATTAATTAACCAGGTGAGGGTGCCAATTAGTTTTTTTTTTGGCGGCAAAGAAATCAGCAAAACAAAACTACACCCATTATTCCCTCGAAAGTTCTTTCAGACAAGATTTAACAGAATCAGCTATGTCAAAACCTGCCAAAATTTTCAAACTTACACTGAAAACTACTGGTATCTGCCTGAACGCGGGCCAGTACATTTCAAGTAGAAAGCCATAACATGTCAACTCAACCTCTCTAACAGTCTATCTACAATATCTTTTAGTTGTTTCCTATGAAATGAATTAACCGGAGCATCTTTTTAGCGAATGACCATTCTGGGGCTGTCCTTGTCGTACAAATATGTTTTTGCTGTGGCCATGTACAGATTGTGCTCCCATTTATTAATCCAATTTTTTATAAATTGAAGTTAACAGTTTTACTTTCGTCTTTTAAGCAAATGACCACTTAAACGCCCTGCAAAATGTTGGCCATAGCACATCTGGGCAAAACTCCACCACCACAAATGATAAATTTATGTTCAAACTGGTGTCTCCTGGATACCTGCAAAGTTTACGTGCTGTACACGCTTTTAAAGTACGCGTTTAAAGGTTTCCGTGATGTATACAATATGCCAAAAAAAAGATACTTTAAAAGCTATCATGAAATTTCATCTGTGCTGGTAGTTACATGTTTAAAGTTAAAACATTTTGTCCAACACAAAAATCCTCTCACCTAGAGCTTTCGACTAGTCACTCTGGTCTTCCTCAGTAGACTGACCCAGTGAGGCTTGTCACACTGATGACGTCACACTTGTGACAAGCCTCACTGGGTCGGTCTACTGAGGAAAACCAGAGTGACTGGTCGAAAGCTTTAGGTGAGAGAATTTTTCTGTTGGACCAAAAGTTTTAACTTTAAACATGTAACTACCAACACAGATGAAATTTCATGATTGCTTTTAAAGTACCTTTTTTTTGGCATATCGTTTACATCACGGAAACCTTTAAACACGTACTTTAAAAGCATGTACAGCACGGAAACTTTGCAGGAAGTAAGGAGACACCTATTTGTACTTGGTATGTGGTGATCAGGATTTTTAGCCCAGTTGTGTATAAAGGGCCAATATTTTGCAGGGTGTTAAGTGGTCATTTGCTTAAAAGACGAATTTAAAGTAAAACTGTCAACTTCAATTTTTAAAACACCAGAGTAATAAATGGGAGAACAATCTGGACATGACGAAAGCAAAAAAATTCAGATTCGTGCAACAAGAACAGCCCCAGAATGTCCATTTGTGCTCATTCACTAAAAAGGCACACCTCTTTTAACTTAGAAAGTCAATTGAGAGTATATGATCTTCGTAGTAATATTTATGTTTTGCAGAGACCATCGGGACCTTGAAAGAAATCCTGCCCTACTGTCTAGGACATACCTGCTGGACACTGGACATTTATCAACCTCTAACTGTAACTCTATCTACAGTTTAGTTATACCAACTTTGAAGATTGATTTTTAACCTTCTTTCTATACACTATCTGTAACTTCGCTGCATTAAAAGTAGAAAACGACTTTAGAGTAATTATAATCATTGTATAAAGACTAGTAGACATTTTTGTTTTGCTGATTCCTCCCTTTGAAACATCACACACAGTTTACCTGTAGTACATTTCACTCTACAAAAAGAAAGCACAACATTGCCTTTTCCATTTTCTGAAAAAAATAGGACATATTCCTAACAATCATTATGTGACCAAAGTATTATGTGACCATTATGTTCCCAGAAATCCACTCATCATTAAAATATTATCATGATTTAAAAAGACAAGTTTGTGAAACGACTTTGTTAACATGAATAATCCTGCTTGTTATTTTTGTTACTTGACAACCAGAGACAAACATATAATAAATTTTAGGTAAATCAGAGTCTAGATTTGTATGCTTTTTGTGTGCTTTTTGCAAATTCATAATTGCAAGCACATTACAGTGAAAGAATATAGTAATTAGTACGTAAAATCACAATGTTTATAATGTATTTCAGAGATTTAGAGCACTCTGGGTTAGGGATGGATAGAGTCATTCTTAGATCAATTAATTCTTTTTCCTTTGATCATGATCATCACAAAAATGTCTCTTTCAATGTTTCACCTAATTTTCTAACCATATTTGACCGTGTTTGAGTGCTTAAAAATTCCATTTATCATCTTTGAATTTTTTTTATTTTAAATTAATGATTGCTACACCATGTATATTGACATTTCATCACACAAAGGACAATTTCATTTTCAGAAAGGAGTTTAAAAAGGGCAAATCATAATACAGTTTTGTTGTTTTTAACATTTTATATTCTGGACTTTCCTTGAAAGTAAAGTTTACAATTTGTAATGTCATATGTTCCAAATCATATTATTTTTAAAATCAGAAAACAATTTTGTCAGATACCAAAAATGCCAAATCTTGACTGCATGAGCATCTTCACCAGTAAGCATTAACAGCTAGAATTCATGATCATAATGAAATTTTTCCATTTTGAATGCTTTTATTTGCCCAAACATGCCAGATAGTTTCATATCACCCATGTAAGATTTTCTTTTCTTCACATTCATTATTATAAGGCCACACAGACTTAATTTTATGGATGACATCTGCGCGCGTGCATTGAATTTTTTTGCCCGCGTGCACTAGTTAAGGGTCTTAAGAGGATGTCATCCATAAAATTAAGTCGGTGTGGCCTGTTTGAGTAACAGAAATGGTCTTTAAAAAGGTACATGCGAATCATGATAAAGAGGATATCCGGGAAAACAGTTTGATCACAAATGCTGTTGAAAATATATCCCATGAAACAACAGGCAATCATAACAAGTGCTTTCCTAAATAGGAAAATGTACTGTGTTCTCCGTCATATTTGCAATAAAAGATTAGTCACAACCTTAAACTAAATATTAGGAATGTGAACTCTTTCAGAAATGACAACAAATAGCAGGGAGGGCTTAGCTTCAACAATGGCCAAATATTAGGATGAAAAATTCAGAGGATCGCAAACATGCCCTTTCCAACATATTTCATTGTCATTTTTAAGGGTCTGCATGGGAGGTCCCTATCACGCTTCGCATGCTAAATTCTGTAAGGCAGCGCGCGCGATTTACATCTGTTCAGCTTGGTTTCACGTACATTACATTTGATATCAAATCGTTGTTCGACTTCAAATTATGCAAAATTGAAATGGCAAGGTGCATAATTAGTCCATGGGCCCGAGACCGTTTTTTGTACCACCAAGATGGACCAGTGCTACCATGATAGATTTTTTTGAATCTGCAATAACCAGAGTTTATTTTGATGTATGATAGCAAGTCTGTATGAGTAGCTCTCTTAGTGTAATCACGTGACCGAATGACGTCTAAAGTCTATAAGTTATACCATTTATATAAGTCATAAGCGAACAACTGTGGTGTTTCTGCCACTGTAGCAATTTTCGAGCGCGTTCGCGAATGGTTTTATTTCAAAAGTTTTCATTACAAGAAGATAGCTATTAAACACCAGGAATGGACTAAAGTAATCGATGAAAACAAACGCCCAATTTATGGAGAAAGGAAGAAATCCTACCTCTTTAGGCTTGATGGTGTTTCGGGACCGGAAAGAAACTATTCAAGTTAAATGTGCGCCTTTATTTGCTGTTGAAAATTGTTTTGTTGTTCGTTTTTGTGGAGAGAAATCCTGTTGTGTGACCGTCTACTAGCGCGGTCAGTCTTCGAATGGTACTGAATTCGAACATAAACAACATTGCTGATAGACTTGTTTACCAATAGCGCCATCTTGTTTTGTCACGTGACTGCGTGATGCATTGTGGGACGCTCTGGGGGGCATTAGAACGTTTGGCACGAAACTGGGTCAGGCAGGTTAGATTTCACATGTGCGGATAGTATTTCTTTGTTTTCTTATTTAATATTTTGGAAGACGGAGCGGGACTTGAAAGCGGATTTGGATTTCTTTTAGACCTTGTGTTGTTTTTGTGGGGAAAAATGGAAACGTGGACATTACCCGAACTGAAGACTTATCTACACGAGCGTGATGTGCCGGTGCCGGCGGACTCCAACAAAAAAAAACTTGTTGATCTGTGTTCCTACGTCAGTAGGATGGACATTTCTGTCAGAGAACATGATCAATCGTACTCAGAGAGCATCCTACGGGAGATCCAAAGGAAACTGACCCTTGAGGGGGGAATTATCAACCTTCCCCATCCCTACATGGTAAACAACGGCTGGTCCGAGAATCTGACAGCGATGCAGTTAACAACACCAGCTATAGATACTTTCTTCAGGAAAGGTACATGTACATCAGATTATTTTTTCAGTATATTTATATTGTATGTATTAATGCTCTGATGCATATTAGGGTAGGACTCTAGTGAAGTCTGGTATCCAGGGTATATATTGTAACTGTATATTATGTGTTAATATACATATATACAGCACATATATATAACGTTATATATAACTTATAATATAAGTATATACACTAAGCTATAGACATATCATCATATACCTACATAGGTTAGTTCTACAGTTGTCATGAACTAGATTTAGTGTTTATACGTACACATTGACTGAGAGTAGCCAATTGTAATTGGAACATAAATGTTTGTAATACAATGGTAGTTATAACTCTGTACCAGGCAACAAACATGTTAGACAAATATCTACATTCTGTATGTATGCTATGTGTTACAATATTTGTAGTAATTAAAAATACTAATACGGAACTGTGTATTATTTTAGCCAACCGAGACATCAGTCTCCTCACGGATGGTACGGAAGCAAAGAGGGAGGGCTGGAGCCTGCACAAGTCAGGACATGTTAGTGGAGTGCTCACCATGAAAGTGTCTCCATCAATAAACTACTCCTTCATCAAGGGACGTGTCAGACGTGAAACGAAAACTCGAGAATCACCATGGCTGGGATGGATGATAGTGAATGAGAGAACTTGGGGAGTTGAAGCAGCATATTGTCATTGTCCTGGCGGGTATGTTAATAAATTTTAAAATCAAATCCAGATATCGAGTCGACACTAGCAAACTTAAACTTATTATGTGGTATCTGATATTGGTGTTAGTTAGAATACAGCAAAAGTAATAGTAGTATAAACCAAACTTGATCTGACAAACATGAAACTCTGCAAAAATAGTTTAGCAAAAATTGAAACCAGTTTTGATAAAATAGTTATGCTTAGCTAGAAGTGTGATTTAAATCATAGATTAGGCCACACCAATTTAATTTGTTGCTTCTCGGATCGCCCTGTCCATTTTTTTCTGATTTGCAAAAAAAATTTTTGGTTCTAAATTAACTGCAAAATGCTCAATGAAAGACATATTTTGGCCCCAACAGTTGAAAAAAGTCCTTTTCTTTCTATTTTTCAATGTAACAATGCAATTTTGTTTCATTGAAAGTTCAAAATCTATTGTTTTAATTATAAACCAGTCGTTCACTTCGTGGCTCATATTGTAACATTTCCGGCTATAATTGGGTGCGGTGGCCTGTTTTTTTCTTCTTTTTTTTCGCCCTGTCGCTCCTGACTTTTTCTGAAAAAAATCTGAGAAACAACAAATTAAATTGGTGTGGCCTTACCATTACTTCTGACAGTTTCCATTACCAAGGACATTATATAATGTCCTTGCCATTACATGATCAGGATTTGATTAAGTTCATAAAAATTTCCTGTGTTGCAGGGTACGAGGAACATGTAAACACATCGCCGCTCTCTTGTACTCGGTGTGCTCCTGTGTGGCCAATGGAGAATCTGTTACATCAAAACCCCAACAATGGGGTAGGCCATCCAGCATACATCAACCAGAGTTAATCAGAAACATCAGGATCAAAAAGGCGAAAGCGTGCCTTCATGATGACGAAGTGACATCATTCAAGAGATTCAACTTCGACCCCAGACCACCCGTAAAGCGTGTAAGGAAGCAGATACAGGACTATGATCTTGATGGTCTGGCGGATACAGGCCCTATGAGTGCGATTCTCTTATATGCACCACGGCAGGAAGATCCTTACAGGCAGCATCCCTGCTTAGAGGACATTGATCATACAGAACAATGTTATGCAAGTGAGACACATACACCCCTGAGCCTCCCGGAACTGGCTACAAAAATAAAAAAGGACAATCCAGGAATAAGTGAAGAGTGTTTTCAGCAACGGCTGGATATTGAGATGAGGGTAAACCCTGACATGGGAGATGTAATTGAAAAGCAAACAAGAGGGCAGACGGACTCAAGCATGTGGACAAAACAGAGACAAGGGAGAATAACTGCTTCTAGACTGTTTGATTGCACATCCAAGGTTTCTGGGGGGAAGATAGTTCGTTCTGCCACTTCGGTTTTAAACGACATTATGGGTACAACACCATTTACTTCACCTGCCACATCATGGGGCATTGCCAGAGAAGAAACAGCAGTGAAACACTTCGTTCACAAAGAGAGCAGAAAACACAAAAATTTCACATGCGAACGGACTGGTCTGATTGTGTCAACTAGGTGTCCCATCCTTGCAGCCTCACCTGACTCTGTGGTGTCTTGTTCGTGTTGTGCTGGCAGAAGGCCAGTCGAAGTGAAAAATCCTTGGACATTACGTAAGCTGACAGTCACACAATATGCAAAACACAATGGAACGTGTCTACAGGTCACAGACGATGGAAACATTGTGCTGAATTCAACTCATAAATACAACTACCAGCTACAAGCACAGATGTTTGTTCTTCAGGCTCAGACTGGGTACTTTGTCTTAAAAACCACAACTCACCACGACAATTTGTTTGTACAAGAAGTTAAGTTTGATGCAACTCTAATGCAAAATGCCCTGGCAAAGGCACATGTCTTTTACAGAGAAGTTGTAAGCCCTGAATTGTACTCTCCATCCCAGTCTGTCATCTGTCCTCAGTCTGTCATCTCTCCTCAGTCTGTCATCTCTCCTCAGTCTGTCATCTCTCCTCAGTCTGTCATCTCTCCTCAGTCTGTCATCTCTCCTCAGTCTGTCATCTCTCCTCAGTCTGTCATCTCTCCTCAGTCTGTCATCTCTCCTCAGTCTGTCATCTCTCCTCAGTCTGTCATCTAAAATTGTCACGTTTTTAAGGATTTCAGTATAGATGTTGGCTAGTCATAAGATTTGTGTGCAAGGTACTTAAGTCTCATTTTTAGCATATATATATATGTACATGTACAAAGTGACAATGACAATGACAATTACAAGTGCTCACAAACGTTTTAATTTATTTTTAAATTTTCTTCACATTTCTCCACAAAAAATACCAAAATAATGTACAAGCTTTTTAGAATTATAGCAGCTGAGTAGTAATAGCCTATTCTCCATATTGCAGCTGCTGAATGTGCATAACTGTGCATATGCATTTCTATTGGATATCTGTTCTACTGTTATAAATGACAATCTTGATACATGTACATGTATTATGACTATTGTTCATGTATCAAACTCTGTGAAGTTTGGGACATTTTTGTACTTCTGCTTTATAATACAGTGCAATGTGAACTTCAGCACTTCATGTTCAGATGTACGTACTGTGTACTATGTGAACAACCCAAAACCTTCTTACCACTAGGCTCCTTACCACTAGGATTCTACATTCTACATGCACCAATAAGTTGTTTTCCTTCAAATCCTTTTTAATGCATGCTCTTCATCTTACTTCAGAGGTACTAAGGGCGGCTGTAGATTCACAAGTGCAGCACATATGATCAACACATTGTCCAGAATGTCTAGCATGTCTAGTGGGTACTCACTGGATAGTATACGGAATTCTTTCATGCGACCGATTACCCTTTCAATATGTATACGGGCACTAGCTACATGCTTCGTCTTGATATTGTCTTTTACTGAGAGTTGTGGTTTCCCCTTGCGCAGGAACGGTGGTATGACCAGCTGTACCCCCTTGACTGCCAATAAGTCCTGAATGTTGAAGCCTCTATCGGCCATACAAACATCCCCCACAGCAAACTTATCAATAATCGATGACCTTTCAACAAGTCTCTTGTCTGACATAGACCCTCCTGCTGAAGCTGATACAAATGAAACTGTCCCACCCGGTGTACACGCTACCAAAGTTTTCGCAGTAGGTCTACTTTTGTAGTTGCTGTAGATTTGTGAATTTGCCTTAGCCAAGGATGGTCTCTGAACGGGGATTTCCGTACAGTCAAGAATGGCACGAATGCGTGGCCATTTCTTGAAGCATTCAGGGATGTACTGCTCAATAGCTTCCGAAGGTGGCCAGTAAACCAAGCCTGCCAACTCTTTACCTAATAGCGGTACCCATGTAGATATGATGCGTGACACTAGTGATGTACTGATTCCAAAGCGTAAAGCTAAATCATCCTCAAGCAGATTCATTCTGATCTTCATGAGGGTTAACAACAACTCATCCTCTGGGCTGAGGAGGCGTGAAGGCCCAGGCTTTTTACAGCCTGCAGTCTGGTACTTCTTCTCAGACTGACTTTGTTGTCCTTTGTAGTATTGTAACTGAGAGAGGTTGTCTTTGACTTCGTTGAATACCCATCTGAACTTGCCATAGTTTACTAGCCCTGTGTGCAGTTTCATTTTTTTGTCTGAATCCTTAATCTGATGAATTCCAAAATGTTGTAGTTCCTTAACTTTCTTGTTTAGCTCTTCAATTTCCTTCTGCTGTTTTTCTACAAGTTCTTTTAATTTTTCATCAAGCGACTCATCTGACATACTAGTACTTACACTAGTACATGGCTGCACAGAAGCATGATGTTTAGAACTGTAGGAATGTTCGTCAAGCGACTCATCTGACATACTAGTACTTACACTAGTACATGGCTGCACAGAAGCATGATGTTTAGAACTGTAGGAATGTTCGTCAAGCGACTCATCTGACATACTAGTACTTACACTAGTACATGGCTGCACAGAAGCATGATGTTTAGAACTGTAGGAATGTTCGTCAAGCGACTCATCTGACATACTAGTACTTACACTAGTACATGGCTGCACAGAAGCATGATGTTTAGAACTGTAGGAATGTTCGTCAAGCGACTCATCTGACATACTAGTACTTACACTAGTACATGGCTGCACAGAAGCATGATGTTTAGAACTGTAGGAATGTTCGTCAAGCGACTCATCTGACATACTAGTACTTACACTAGTACATGGCTGCACAGAAGCATGATGTTTAGAACTGTAGGAATGTTCGTCAAGCGACTCATCTGACATACTAGTACTTACACTAGTACATGGCTGCACAGAAGCATGATGTTTAGAACTGTAGGAATGTTCGTCAAGCGACTTATCAGGACATGGTTGCATACAAGCATAAGAATGATCATCAACAAAGTATTCATTTGAACTTTCAACCTTTGGCTTCTTAGACTTAGAGGGCAGGTCATGCTTTACGACCTCCCGTCGCTTTCCAGCTTTCTTTTCTAAACCCTTGAGATAAAGTGTAGGAAGTGGGTTGGTAACAGTTTTCTTCCCCTCCTTGAAGTGGTTGCTGCAAACCCGGGTAGATGATGTCACCTTGAACCTTTCCCTGTTGATCAGTTTTGTCCACTTATGTCTTAGCTCCTTGGGGCATCCATAAAACCGTAGGGTTTTGACATGTGGCTTCAACACATACCTATAAAGAAAACAATAATAGATAGTCAAATTCTAAGCAAAAGAGAGCATTTCCATCAAAGCTTTTCTGATATGAAACTAATATATTATATTCAATGCCAGTTAGCAATCATAATTGACACAAACAATAAGATGTAATTATATTTTTCCCTACCTAGCACTAGTAAGAAAATTCAAATAAAAAAGATAAGTCATACCTTTCAGGGTACCTTCTATCGTTGTTGCAGCCATACACTGCGCAGTGATCTCCCCCACCCATCTGCTTGATAGCACTGCAGTGTTAAAAAGTGATCCGTTAATCTCCAAGCAGATGTGGGATCTGACGCGGTTTAATTGCTTTGCGCGTGTTTTTGCAACATTTAGTATGTCTCGCTAATAGTTCACGTTTTAATACCGCATCTCCTAATATGTGAACTATTGAGTATATCTACTGAATGTTGCAAAAACACACGCAAAGCAATTAAACCGCGTCAGATCCCACATCTGCTTGGAGACATTACGCTTACTGTCCTAGCCGGATACTTGAAAAGGTCAACAAGTTGATCGGTAGTTTTTGCTCACATTTGTCTGTTTTCAAGATGAATTGATATTTCAACGTTTATGATAGTTTATTTACAACGCTAAATACAAAGTGTAATATTCTAAAGCAACAAAATCCATGCATACCTTTCGGTTGTCGGCAAATTGAGGTGCTGCTACTCGCGTGAATGTCGAAAGATGGCGTAAGGACACCGCGCTCGCTGAATCCCCCCCACGGCGATTTGCCCCCTGGCCCTTCCCAGAAATCATTGCGCGAAAAAAAGATGGCGGTATCTGTGTGACGGACTATTAGCAACTGCTTGTTGTCGCACATTCGAACCAGTAAACAACCCTGTTGCTTAGCAATTGTTTGTTGTCACGGATTCAAATTTAACGGTCTTCGAGCGCAGTGTACGGGGACAATCAGACACGACCGATGAAAACAAACGCGCAAAACATGAAAAAAAAAAGGAAGACAATCCTACCTATTTTAGGCCTACGGGTTCCCAAGGTGGTTAAAGAAACTATTTGTGTTAAGATGTGTGCCTTTATTTGCAAATTAAAAAGTGTTTGTTCATTTCCTTCAGACCGTTCCTGTTGTGTGGGCGCCGTGAACGAAAGTAATCGATGAAAACAAACGCTCGGAAGAAAATCCTACCTCTTTAGGCTTGCTGGTGCTCCAGGACCTGAAACAAACTATTTATGTTCATGTGCGCCTTGATTTTAGCCTGGGTACCATCCCCAGTAGTATATTCGCAAACTCTATAACTGGGTCTGGACTTGCACACATATAAAACGATTGGTCATGACGTCACGTAATGAGCTAGCCCGAGCAGCGGGGCTTCATTTGATTGGCTGAGCCTCAGAGGCGACGGCCAATGGCGCACCTGCATTATTCAAGTGATGTTTGTTGTTTTGTAAGCACAGATCTTCGCGCGAGTGTTCCTTTTCTCGGTGCGTTCTTTTTTTTACCGGTAGGACGCCCAAAACATCACGAACGAAATTATTCAATGCATCTTTTTGCTCATTTTTGAGCGACGATATTCCGTCTAAATCGTCCAAAACGGACGTGATTGCAAGGTCAACATCAACCTCCGTGAGCTGAGCGGCTTGTGCGTCAGCCATGTTGATGATTTATCGCGGAAAGACTGACTACGGCTATATCATGTGCGCTTTAGCGTTCGGTTCGCCGTCGGACATGTTGATGATAAGGCGTTCGGACGTTCGAACGGACGCTAACGTCGCCGTTCGGACATCCGAACAGCCCTTACCTAATATGTACACACCCAAAAAAGGGCTTAGACGAGTAGGACCAATCAGCGCGCTCGTTCAAAATCTGAACGAATATTTAGACTCCAGACGCTACATATGTGTGCAAGTCCAGACCCAGTTATAGAGTTTGCGAATATACTACTGGGGATGGTACCCAGGCTACCTTGATTTGCTGGTGAAAATTGTTTTGTTGTTCGTTTTCTTGGGACAAATCCTGTTGTGTGACCGCCTCCTAACACGGCAAGTCTTCGAATGATACCGAATTCGAACATGTAAACAACTTTGCTGCTTAGCAACCACTTGTTGTCGCACATTCGAACCACTAAACAACCCTGTTGCTTAGCAATTGTTTGTTGTCACGTTTTTAAATTTAACGGTCTTCTAGCGCAGTGTACGGGGACAATCAGACACAACCGATGAAAACAAACGCGCAAAACACGAGGAAAGGAAGGAAAATCCTTCCTCCTCACAGGTGCCCAGGTCCAAAAAATGATATATCTTAAATTTTTTCCTTTATCTTGTTGTGTGACCGCCTCGAAGCACGTTTATTCCTCGGATGATGCCGAATTTTAACCTGTAAACAACCTTGTTGCTTACCAACCGCTTGTTGTCGCGCATTAAAATTTTACGGTCTTCTAACGCACTAACGTTACACACCAATAACGAAACCAACCGATGAAAATAAGGCCGCAAAACACGAGAAAAGTAAAGAAAATCCTAGATTTTAAATGTGTGGCTTTATTTTCTATGGATAATTTAACGGTCTTCTAGACTATCTCAGTACACACAGAACAAAGCCGATCTCGAGCGATGAAAACAAGCGCGTAAAACACGAGTAAAGGAAAGAAAATCCTACCTCTTTTTAGGCCTACAGGTTCCCAAGGCCCCGTTTGTGATTTTATAGACATAGAAATGCGTTATGCCAGCTTCTTCATTCGCGTGAGACGTTCTAGAGCAAATGGCACACCTGGGGTCATCTGAGGTTACATACAGTTGCTAAGCAACAGGGGTTGTTTATGTTCGAATTCGGTATCATTCGAAAACTGACCGTGCTAGCATAGCAGGCGGTCACAAAACAAGATCTTCCCCAAGAAAAGGATCAACAAAACAAAAAATACATTTCAACAGCAAATAAAGGCACACATTTAACATAAATCATTTTTTCAAGACCATGGGAACCTGTGGGCCTAAAAAGAGGTAGGATTTTCTTTCCTTTACTCGTGTTTTACGCGCTTGTTTTCATCGCTCGAGATCGGTTTTGTTCTGTGTGTACTGAGATAGTCTAGAAGACCGTTAGATTATCCATAGTAAATAAAGCCACACATTTACAACATAAATCATTTACTTCATGTCCTTAGACAGCTTTAGGCCCAAGTATCTAGGATTTTCTTACCTTCTCCCGTGTTTTGCGCGCTTATTTTCATCGGTTGGTTTCGTTATTGGTGTGTAACGTTACTGCGTTAGAAGACCGTAAAATATGAATGCGCGACAACAGGCGGTTGGTAAGCAGCAAGGTTGTTTACGGGTTCAAATTCGGCACCATCTGAGAAATAACCGTGCCAGGAGGCGGTCACACAACAAGATAAAGGTAAAAATTTAAGATATATCATTTTTCTGGACCTGGGCACCTGTCAAGAGTAGGATTTTCTTTCCTTTCCTCATGTTTTGCGTGTTTGTTTTCATCGGTTGTGTCTGATTGTCCCCGTACACTGCGCTAGAAGACCGTTAAATTTGAATCCGTGACAACAAACATTTGCTAAGCAACAGGGTTGTTTACAGGTTCGAATGTGCGGCAACAAGTGGTTGCTAAGCAGCAAAGTTGTTTACATGTTCGAATTCGGTATCATTCGAAGACTTGCTGTGTTAGGAGGCGGTCGCACAACAGGATTTGTCCCAAGAAAACGAGCAACAAAACAATTTTCACCAGCAAATAAAGGCACACATTAACATAAATAGTTTGTTTCAGGTCCTGAAACACCACCAAGCCTAAAGAGGTAGGATTTTCTTTCTTTCTTCGTGAATTGAGCGTTTGTTTTCATCGATTACTTTCGTTCACACGGAAAAAAGGCGCCCACACAACAGGAACGGTCTGAAGGAAATGAACAAACACTTTTCAATTGCAAATAAAGGCACACATATTAACACAAATAGTTTCTTTCACCACCTTGGGAACCTGTAGGCCTAAAATAGGTAGGATTGTCTTTCTTTTTTTCATGTTTTGTGCGTTTGTTTTCATCGGTCGTGTCTGATTGTCCCCGTACACTGCGCTCGAAGACCGTTAAATTTGAATCCGTGAGAACGAAAAATTGCTAAGCAACAGGGTTGTTTACAGGTTCGAATGTGCGACAACAAGTGGTTGCTAAGCAGCAATTTTGTTTAGATTCGAATTCAGTACCATTCGAAGGCTGACCGCGCTACGAGACGGTCACATAACAGGATTTCTCTCCACAAAAACGAACAACAAAACAATTTTCACCAGCAAATAAAGGCCCACATCTAACTTGAATAGTTTCTTTCAGGTTCCGAAGCACCATCAAGCCTAAAGAGGTAGGATTTCTTCCTTTCTCCATGAATTGCGCGTTTGTTTTCATCGATTACTTTCGTCCATTCCTGGTGTTAGCTATCTTTTTTGTAATGTAAACTGTCATTCGCGATAAACGCGCTCGAAAGTTGCTACAGTGGCAGAAACACCACAGGTGTTCGGTCGCTTATGACTTATATAAATGGTATAACTTATAGGCTTCTTAAATTAACTATTTTTGGTAGGAAAGTAGCTGAAAAGTGCAAAAATAAGTCATTTTCACGTTGTTTATGGCATAAGCGTCTCGGTGGTACAAAAAAACGGTCTCGGCCCATGGACTAAATGCTTCAACTAAGCAACGACCACTTTTTATATGGTTCACTTGTAACTGGCTGGACGTTTTATCACATAGATGAGAGTTTAATGGTGAATAGATTGACCTGACTTTCCATTATGCAAACCTACTGAAATGGCTGGTTACGCATTGCGGCATGCAGACCCCATTTTTGAAAGAGTTTATAAATAAAAGCCAACTCACAGTCAAGTCCGATGTTCTCTTCTCTTGTAGATAGGTAACAAGTCCTTCAGAAACAGGTATATCCTCCTGGAATAATAGTCCTAGAGTGTGGTCAGGTACACAGGATAGCTGACAGGTCCCACAATGTCAGCTATACATTAGCAGCATCTCAAGCCTAGGTTGTAAAAGAAATACACATTCAGAAAGATCACAGGCCAAATGCTATAATAACAATTACTCACAGAGCATCATACATTGCAAAATTCAGATTATTTGTTTGAGTTCTAAAACCTGCTTTGGGTCGGGGGCAAGAGCAAATTCCGAGTGGTTAAAGAACAGAGCAGAATTGCAGTCAACATTCAATCAAAAGTCAAGAACATATTATTAGGAAAACATATAATATGATGACCATGGAAAAATCAAAGTACATCTCACATACAATACATCAGAACAGTCACCAACATCACACAGAATGCTGTTCAAACATGTTAAAGTTCAACATCATTCAAGCACATCTTAAATTGACAGAACATTATGGGAAAAGATAGCTTACATAACACATATAAATCAGTCAAAAAATTCAGAGGAAGAAACTAGCGTATCTAATGTAGTCATGTTAGTTCAAAACGGACATGAAAATAGCATCCCCGAACGGCAGCGTTTAGTGCACCGGTTTAAACACAGGGAATCCTCACCGGCGCAAATAATTTACGCCATTCTGCGTTTTAGCTTCATTCTATCTCTTCTTTTTTCTTCTTTCATTGTGAGGCAGCCACCTAGCTGAAGATGCTGCTGCTTTTTTGTGGCTAATACGAGACGGGGTTCGCTTAGGCCTCCATCCATGAAAGGCGTGTAAAGTGCCTTTTCCAAGGGCACAAGATCGGTGACATGGCAGGGTTCGAACCCGGGACCTCGTGGTTCTGAGCCGAACGCTCTGTCGTTGCGGCGCCACACGACCCCAACGAACTGCAACGAGTTCGGACCAAATACGAGAACATAAAGGACAATGTTAAATGCGACTCACCTCCTTAAACGGACGTAGCTCGTCTTAAAAGACGAATTTTAACCGCCGAGTTCTTCCCTGTCCAAGCACCGTGACTTGCCATCTTGCTCTGGCTGTAAGCAGCAGCGTGGTCTAACCACCTGATAAGTAATCATCGTAATTTACATATTCTCAATTAGATAATTAAGTTAGGCCATGTTGATTTGATTATATGGATGACATCCACTGAGAACCCAATAACTGATGCAATCGTGCGAATAAAAACAAATTGCCTTCATTTGAAATCTAGGTGGTCCTAAGGGTTGAACAAATGACTAAATACACAAAGTAATATTTTATTGGCACGGTAAATAAGACTCTTCATTTTCATTCCTTCACATTTTCTTCTCTTCCTTTGGAATGGATTTTGGCATTCTGTGACCTAAGTATCGTTTGTTTTTTTCAGTTTGAGGCATATATTTGCTAATTTTGCAGCTGCTTTGTACAATTTGCGCTCTTTTCTTCCAGGTTTATGACCGATTTTATTTATTCCCCTTTCTTCGCTAGATATAAGTAACTCGCCAAATAAATAACTAAAAACTCTTCCTTGTTTGTTCATCTTACCACACGTTTGAACGTGACTCTCTTTTGTTCACATTACATAAAGCTCGACATTTCGTGTTGTTACGTGACGTTTATTTCAACATCGGCCACGCGTCGTAACATACACTGCACATTGAATACATTTCGCTAGGTAGCGCGACTAGACTGTGAAGAGAACCAAAGGACGATAAATGTATAGCTTTGCATTATCATTTGCATTATCGTCATGATTAAGACTGACCCTGTCAAACACTATGGCAAACTTGGATGGGCATTAGATAATGTTAAGATGCAGACAGTTAATAGTGTATTCAGTTTAAACACCAGAAGACTTGATGAATTGATATGGAAAACGGATCCTCTTACACCGAATCTTTCTGCACATCCGCACATCAGTTTCAAACACTTATGTTTTGAGACCAACAATTCGGATCATTCACATACTTGTGATCGTGTAATGTAATGAAGAACTGCAGATGTCCAGCAAATATGTCTAATAGAGGTACTGTAATCAGCTGATATAAAAGTTCACTGACCAGTAATTCCAACATGTACCCAAACCCACCTGTGCATGGAATGGCCTAAATGTTTACTTACTTTGATTTTACATGTATTTGAATAATAATAATAATAATAATGGCCGCAAAACATTTGTCTTTGTAATGGGGAAAATAAATGAGCAAATTTCGACAGGGTCTAACACAATACAAAAGAGCCATACCTGTGATCTTCAGATTTTCTCTAACAGAGCTTAGAAACGCTGCCTGAGTCAAGTAAATCCACGCCTCACGTCACTTAAAGGCCACAGCAAATAAATTTCATGGATGACATCCTCCGCAGACTCCAAATCTAATGCGAGCAGGCGAAAAAAACAAGACGAGCCCAAAAAAACAAGGTTCCTACATTTTAAAATTTGACTCAATCGTGGTACAAATGGTTTTGATTCAGTGGGAACATATACACAACCACATATCACTGCATCAAAGTAAAAAAACACAACTTAAATCAGAGTCTTTTCTTGTCTCCTCTCTTCATATTTATCTGCCATCCACCTTCCGACATGGCAGCAGACATCTTGGCCCATTTTCGGCATGTTGACCGCTGTCAGAAGGCAACAAAGTTTATTTTTTCCCCCAAATCAGGCAAAAGTTAATGCGTGCGCTGATGTCATCCATAAAAATGTGTGCCTTGCTGTGGCCTAAGTGATGAAGAGGATAAGTAAGTAAGTAATATAATATGTTGTAATAAGTACATAAAAACTAAAAAAGTGTACATATTGTCTTGAATGAGAGAATACCTCTGACACAGTTCTTCTAAATTATTTTCTGATTTGTTATAGGAATAACACAGCAAAAATCCTCAGAGTTAAAACTGGATTTATTGGAATGTTAAAATCTTGAAAGGATACCCTTCTCCATTGTTCAAAGACTACCAGGCAAAAGATAAATACTGTAGTGCATAGTGTATACTGGTAGTGTAGCAATGCCAAGCAGTTCTTTTGGTACTTTAACCTAGAGATATTTCAGAGTAATGTGTTATACAAGGCACTAGCTAGACACGATGTTTACTAGAAAAAAGCTAAACAGAGAAGTTAATTCTTTTCTGTGATAACAACTCACATTCTATTCACAGTTGACATGTGCATATGATATACTAGTGCAGTAACTGTACAGTTTGTATATAGAACAAGTCTTAGATCTCTTTGGTGTCTTATATATAGTAAGGTAGATGATGCAGGCTAAAAACTTTTGCAGTGAGAAGTATCAACAGGCAGTACATGTGTAAGACATCATGACTAAGCATCAGCTTATACTATAGTTTGCCCTGCTGTTCATTATTCAATCGATCATACCTTATTCCCCTCCCAAGTTAAGCCCAGTTGAAACTGGGTATCACGATGGCTTATGATATTCTTAAGTACCCACAACAAAACTTCAGCTCCTTTATATATAACTAATCCATACAATGCAGAAAAGTTTGGAACTATGTGTAGTTTCTCTTGTAAAAACTCAATGGAGTCATTTCAAAATTTGCATTAAGTGATTGTACAGTAATTGTTCATGATTCCCGAAACCTGTATATCAAAATATTTTCTAAATCCCCAACCATCACTTTAGACAGGAATGTAAGAAAAATATACTATATCTAAATCTAGCAAAATTCATTTAGTAAAGACAGAGCTACAGGCTGCAAAGTATAGAACATGCAGTTTGACAACAGTGGAATGTTTAAAAGCAGACAATTCTACATCATGAGAATTGTCAATCGAGGAAAGTACACAATGTAACGTTATTTGTAAGTAACTGGATATGTTTGTGTGTGTGTTTGTATGTGTGTCTATGTGTGTGTGTGCACATGCTTACACAATGCACAGTAAACTGGATACTTCTGTGTGTGTGTTATCCAAAAATGTTTTCTTTAATAGTACGATTTTCTGCATTTAGCTGTATTTTTACTGCAGCGATTAATCCTAGAGCATTTTGACTGTTTTCAGTCATCAATAGAATCTTATGAATAAGTACCATTGGAATTTCCAAATACATGTAGATTGGTAGTAGCTTCCCCTTTATATTTTATCAATATTAATAATGTTTTCAAATCTAGTATGAGAGTATGAGACGTGATCAGTTTTTGGGTGTGAAAACCAGCCTTTTGGTGAGCATGGACAGGAAGCAGGGCATCTGTTTCATGCCGAGTGACCGCTGGTCCGTGGTGCGCTCCACCTCCCGGCACGACACCATCCGGTTGACCAGCGCCAGGACCTCGTGGATCTCCATGTTGGATCCGTGTTGCCTCAGCGCTGCACACAGGTCCTGGACATACCACGAACCGTTCACCGTGTCGCGATGGGAGTAGAAACCTGAAAAATCATGAAGATGGAGAGGTTGAAATGACAGGTTAATGAGCCCAACCAGAAAACAAAATTTTCAAGTCATTCTATAGAAGACTATAGCTCACTTATGAAAAAGATGATACAAGCAAAGTCCAAGCCACAATGATTGTTGGCATCCTTCTGTCTCAAGAGACGATGGAGTTCACGCCATGGACCAGTTCAGCAAGTCATAGAACATAGGGATCAGCATGTTCGCAACATTCTGAAACTGTGTTAGATCTACAGTTCCAGGATGGTTTTGTGAGCTAATGCAGCAGTTTTTCAAACAAGTGAGTAATAATCAAAGGTCACCTTCAGACACAGAGTAGGCCATGAGGAAGTCTGCTCCAGCGGGCAGGGTGGGCCTCACACCGGTGTCCACCACGTCCATGGGTTCTGCCTCCCCGCCTCCCACTGGACCATCAGGCTCATCTGACGGCTCAACGGGAATCTCATGCTTGGCTCCCCGACACGCCTGAACAAAAACTTCACCATCAGAAACCCAAGAACACTTCCATGTGTTGCACACTAAGCTCATATTTTATTACATACATTGAAGTTGCGATGAAGAGAGGTGTAACAAATCTGTAGATTCAAGGAACTAGGAAAATGTCTCTAAGATAGGTTTTCTAAAAGAATGCATGATCAATAATACAGATTGGTGCAATGTTTATAAAATGGGGTTCTACCAACCTAGCAAAACAATCCTGTAGTTTCAATATAATGTGCCCCATACATACAACTGTATTACAACATCATCCAGAGCCACATTGTTACGTATTTGCTGACCTGAATGAAGAAGAGTTTGGGTTTCCCCTTGAGAGTAGTGCACATGTCAGCTCGGAACATGTCAGTCAGCTCCTTGATCGGCACAGTGCCGTTGTACCCGTAGATCATGCCGTCCTCCCCGTGACTCAGAAACACACACACAAAACAGTCCGACTGGCTGTGGTCATACTTCAGGGCAGCTGAGAGTTGTCGATGGAAAGAAAGATAATTATACTTTAAGTATAAAATGGTGAATATTGTCACATTGTCATCGTCCACAGGTAGATGGGACTATAAAAAGTCCTTTAGCCAAGGAAAAGATATTGCCTCTATCGTGATCATTGCTATTGAAACTGCCACTAGTAGACTAGTAGTAGGGCCTGAAATGTCCCTGTTGAAAGCAAGACAAGTTTTCACTTGCATCTTGTCATTCCAAGAAAACTTTACACCTTATATCCTGAAAGGAAACAAAAGGCTAAGAGCTATAATGTTATATCTTGTTCAAACTACCTGAGTGCACGATTTGTCTGATCTCTGTGATCTCCTTGTCCTTCAGAACTTCCACAGAAAAGCCCAGGCCTTCAAACAGCGCCTTCAGGTTGGCAGCGTCCACGTGGGAGCCACGGCGCCGGTTCATCTTCGTCGTCCAGTGGAACTCCTCGTTGTCAAACACCAGGCACAGACCCCGCTGGGGATGGTTCATCCCATAACTGGGGAGCTCCCGCACAAGTTCTGCTTGGGGTGGGGCTCTGTGCATGCAGGAAAAAAATATATACAACGTACATCAAATATGCATGTACTAAAACACTGCAGCAGTTCACATGTACAGTCACTGCTACTGTCCATGTAATTTGTCAGGTTCAAAGTCAGGAACCCAAACTTACCTCCTCACTCCAATACTGTAGATTGGTGCATCAGTCTCATCTTTGCCCTCTTGCATGGAGTCAGTTACAACTGTGAAGGAAAAACATCATGTTGCCATGAATTGAGCTTCATTGATTTTACAGTTTAACTGTTATTAGTAGTATAAAGTCCTACACTACTTGAATTCTTGGTTCCAAATGAAGAGTCATCATCAGTCTTAAATGTTAGGCCTGCAAGAGTTCAGTTTTTCAAGGTGGGTATTTTGCACCCTAATACCTGTATATAACTGTTCTACTTACCCTTTTCTGCATGTCCTGGCCCCCAACACACCTCCTTAGACGGGACCCCCCTGGGGCCCACCACAGGTGCCTCCACCCTCCTCTGTTCCTCCAGCTCCACGTTTGGTCCCCTCAGCATCCCCTCCACAGCTGCAGCGAGAGCAGAGTTACCGTTGGCAGGGGGGGCGCTGTCAGGACCAACCCGGGGGGCCTCCTGTCTCCTCTCCCTGTCCATCCTGATGACAGGTCCTCTCAGCATCCCTTCTACTGCACCTGCCAGGGCAGAGTCTCCATCTCCTGCAGCATCAAGACAAACTTCAAATCATTTCATTTCACCATCAGACTGTGTGGAACATTTCTGGGAGCACTTTTGATAATGTCCTAATCTCACTCAACTTTTGTGTGAAACTCCAACTATTCATCACATAGTGTAACATTACAGTTAAAGAGCGATCCAAACTCAAATGTTGGACAGTGTCATCTTCACACACGAATCCATGGATCTTTCAAGTTTGATGACATTTAAGTACATTCAGTAGACACGGCACAGTTTCGGACCACTGCTTGCATGCATACTCTGACTGAATGGTACTTGTATTAAATCAGGCTGAGGTTATTTTGGAAACAATAGACTCATAAATGGGAACAAACCTTTGTGTCTCTTATTGACAGGTTCTTCTTCAGTCATTCTTGGAACAGTTCTGTCAGGAGTTGCACCTGGGGGAACTGATGGAAGTCAGGTTTTAGAGCAGAGCAGCAACATGCATGTAAAAGTTGAAGAGTTAAAAACAAATGTGAAACTGAAAGAGAAGTTAACAGGAAGTAACGTTACAGGTTTTATCAGTAAAGTAGTGAAGTAACACCAGGAAGAACAAAGGGCACACAGAACATTATTTGGAATTGGAATAAAACCTTTGAAGATGAACTAAGGTGCAACATTGCAACAAAAACAGCAACAATACTAATAAATTCTAACTGTGTTAACGTTATATCTTAATTGTAGTTGTTCGCTTGAGATTCTGCTACAGCTGGTCCACGCTGGTCAGTTACAATGCACGCTGTATTTACATTACAAGCTAGCCACAATCATGACAATGGCCACTTAGATTGGAAGCATTTACAAGTTGTTATTTTCGGTACTTTAGAGTGCACTACGCGTTGCACTGATGGTTGTACTTGACACTGTAGCAGTGTGAAGTTTAATCTCGAGTTGATATCGATTTTAACGAGATTTTATCAATGGTTTTTGAACTCTGGACAAGCCAGTATCGATCGCTGGTTGGTGTTCTTCTACCTCCATGGTTCAACAAACGCTCGCCGTGCCGGGTTTAATGTTGCCTGGAGAGGAACCTTCGAGACCTCAAGCACTTACACACGCCAAAATCGAGTGAAAAGAAAGAAATGTACTTACTACTGAGTACCAAGCTACGCTTCTTCCACTGCGAGGTAGCTTGAGCCTGCTATGGTGGCGTCCTCGAAACCGGAAGTAATTGTACTGTATCATAAACGAACAACAACACAACAGCCTCTCCATGGTACAAAAGCGACCTCTTGCGATTAGATTAATAATTGCAGCAAACATAATGCGTTTATCACTAGAAGTTGCCTGGCGGCTGTATTGGTACTGCACAGAAGGAGTCATTAAAATCGATTACTTTAGTTAGTAACGTTACATGACGTATAATGATTTTCAAGTAGAGCACAGTAGACTTCAGGGGTGCCAAAGAATTTATCAGAATTTTACGGAATTCATACGATCTTTACTAGAAACATACGAAGTTTACGGAATGCATACGATCAATTACGTGGAAAACATACGATCCTTACTAATTTGATTAGTAAGGATCGTATTTAATTATATCCCAAACAGCACCTTATGCAGACTTCTTTCACGACATAGTAGCCTGTATTTTAGATCAAAAGGGCAATGCTGGGAAACGGTGGAACCGGTGACCGATGCGGCAAGTCACCAAATGACCCCAAATTAGTAAGGATCGTATGTTTCCGCGTAATGGATAGTATGTATTCCGTAAACTTCGTATGTTTCCGCGTAATGGATAGCATGTATTCTGTAAACTTCATATGTTTCTAGTAAGGATCGTATGAATTCCGTAAAATTCTGATTAATTCTTGGCACCCCTGGACTTACAGTTGCCTAAAGCCGAAAATTTTTGGCCAGCTGTCATGCCACCGGATTGATAAATCTGCTTGGAGATAGATCTTTGATAACGTTAACGCCATTCTTTTAGTCAACTGCAATAAAATGTACGAGAGATAGACGGCGCTTTTGACACACGATGTTCTTCTCTGACCCTCGCTGCTTTGTGTGTGCACGAAAGTTCACTACCGGAATTTTAAAATGGGGAACTGTTAAACGAGTTTTCCATTGAAATATTAAGTTTAAATATTTAAACTAATGTAAGCCAGGTAGTAAATTAAACGGATGATCTAGCTACAACTTTGCTCATATGTAGACTGGCCTTATCAATACGTTGATGTGTCTAATAAAAACCAGTCCTTTTATTTCCTTAAGGCTTTGAGTGAAATAGGACCTAGGTAGTAAAATTATCTTATTACTTGAGGGTAGGCAAATGTTCAATTATTTCCTATTTACGTTTCATTCTGTTCACAAAATAAATACTACTACTGTAGTATGAGGCCTGATCCCTTGCCTCCTATATTACATAATAACTAACCAAGTATTCTGACATCCAACCACAAGAAAAACTCAATTGTCCTTCACAAAGAATGTTTATTAGATACCTTTGACACATACAAAGTTTGCTGCCAACAAAATACGTTTCCCGTACAGTCAGCACTTAACACTACCTACAAGTGTGTAGTATCTACAGTAAACATAGTTCCTTATAGTGATGACATGATACTTTAAACATTGTCCTCACATTTTCAATGTACTGAAAGATATTCTTTCCTTCCTCCCTGGAACAAGAATTTCCTATGTCGAAGACAGTCACTCCAGCTGCCAACATAGTGGATTCTGTACTTTGCTGAATATTGTTCCCTGACTGAAATAATTGGGGGTACATCTGATTGACAGCGGTGCAAACAACACACGGATCACTGTTAATACTGGCTTGCATGTACGTTCCTATTTGCACGAGTCACATACCTTATAACAGTTTCCACTTTCCATATTTCAAGTGAGAAATCTTGACATCTTTGACTCACAAAATCATTACACCTGTACAATTCCTTTGTTTGGCTGTTAGAACCCATAATTCTTGATGCTGCATCAACAAAATCTATACCATTTCGTCCGACTGAACAGCTGTATGATTCAGCAGACAACAAGAAGTAATTTACACAAGAAATAAATAAGTTCTGGGGCAAATTGTGGTTGTAGAGGTTCCTGACAAAATATAGAAAACTTCCTATAAAGTGTTTTGCTGCAAAGTTTTCTAACAATATAGAAAAATAAGCCACGAATGATACAGTCAATGGCTGAAGAATGTGACAATGGCAGTGTGTGAAATAACACAATTCTGTGAGACTGTCTCTTCCTTGGACCATGAGGAAAACAGATGAAAAACTGACAATTTTGGCAACTTCTGTTTGGTCCATATTAATGGGAATATAAGAAAATGACTTATAATAAAACATCTGAGATTCAGATTCTTGGTACCTGTATAGGAGTATGTTGTAATAAACATAAAGAATATAAAAGGAATCTTAGCTCGACCATCACACTTATGTAAGTTTTCCTACCAAATGAACTTGTGGAAAGTTCACCACTCAGAGGGTCACTGTTTCCTACATCTATGCCTTACTGGTTGGAATTTAAAACATTTACTATAAATATTTCTTCCATCTGCATATCACATATTGTCTGCAGCCTTCCTCCAACCCTGTAACATTGTGCCCTGGAATTGGGGATTCCTATCTTGTTTCTTTACATCACCACATCAGTGAAAAAAACAACATAAGATCAAGTACAATGAGAATCATGAGAACGTTTCAAAACAACAAAAAAGTATAATACAATGTACAAAAGTTGATAGCAGTGTTTTCATCGTCTACGAGGTACTTAAATAACTAAGTTAATGGGGGTAACAACAATCATCATACGTACAAGTTGTATATACACATTGGTACTGTATATATTAATCTCAAAACTATAGATTTTTAAATTTACAGGAAGGGTGGTAATAATTTTGATAGAAATGACATATATATCAGTCAGGCCTCGATAAACAGGACTGACAACTTATGGGGAGGGGAATGAAGATCTTAATCGAGTTAAGAGAATCCAACTTGCAAAAAATACCCCCAATTTTAGTTTCCTGATTGCGTTGTGGCATTGAGTGTTTATAGATATATATATAATACATATATACTTGCCACTTTCCTTCACAAAACATCTTTTGTGAATGAACACAGATCAGGTAGGCTACTAATCTTAAAACTACAAAAAATAAGACCTTGCCAAGTCTCTAAAATGTTACTATGCACGACTTTGTTTTTTTAACTGGCCATGATACATACTCATAGATGTACACTGGAAGGATTTTGTACTGAACAAATACCTGCCAAGATGTGACCAATAATGTTTATGTACATGCTGTCTGGCAAAATACAACAAAAGTGGCAAAGAATAATAAATAGAAAAATAGATTTCATCATGTGAAGGCAGTGGTACTTTTCTTATCCTCTATTTCAACTTAAACTTCTACTAGGTTTGGATGGCTACTTAATTTGCCTATTATGCAGGCACCTGAAAATCAATGCCTTTGGACACCCGAGGGTGCCTTCCTTTAGGCACATCAAGAAATGCACTGGGCACCAATACCCAAATGCATGGTACCACTATTCTGAGAAGTCTAAAAATTTATGTACAAACAAGTCTAGAATACCTTAGCCACCCTACACCCTTCACATGCCACCACTTTGTACATGGTCTATATATGGCTGCCACTCCAAGAACCCACTGCACCCTCTCTCCACTTCTGTGGTCAAATTAGTTACAATTCTCAGCAGTTTTCCTCCTTTTGAAGAAACTGGCCAACGTTGCTATCTTTTTTTTCTTGAGTGAGTCATGAGAGAGAGTGCAGTCCAGTCAGTACATCAACCTCAGCTGACCAGATACACCGGCCTGCTGCTTTTTTCCTCTGAGCTTGTGCACCCACCACTGTCCTCCTCTCAGGGGAGACACGAGTGGGGAGGACAGTGACAGGTGCAGCCTGTACTGGAGCGGAGATGGCCCTTATGCCTCATGATAGTGGTGGTAGTGATGGTGGTGATGGTGCTCGTGGTGGTGATGGTGTTCGTGACGCTGGACGTGTCCCGACGCGGGCCGTTCTCCCGTCTGTTCCACGAACTCCAACTCCTGTACGGCCTTGAACTCCTCCTTGTGTCTGTGGTGCCGCCTGTGTCCGTGCAAGCCCGGCGGGCTCACCAGCGCAGCCGCGTAGCCTGTCGGTCTCCCTTTTGTTCGCGAGGGATTTAAAGATGGCTGAACCGGGCAAATCTGTCCCTTTCGTCCCATGTCCTGATACATTCGTGCCCTTTGCTGGATCTCAATAATCCGCGCTACAGTACTTTCGTTCAGTTTTGGAATCCCATGTGTTTCTTTTATTCTTTGCGTGTGGTGCATTTCTGTCGTTCGAGAATAGCTGTGCGGCACGTCCTTAGTTGATCTCGTCTTGTGCACGTGCAGTTCGTGCTTGGCCAATCCTTGCAGTTCTTGAGAATCATGTGACCTTGACCTGTGGTGGCCCTCGTGGCCTCTTGACCTTGATCGAGAATGGTTGTTTTCTTGGGAATTTGAGGATGTATACATCCCTGGAGCAAAGAAAAACAAAGTCACTTTTAGAATTAAACTTGTTCCTTGCAGGTTCAAAGGAAAACCATTACTATATGGCAATAAGAACCTACAAATCAAATAAACATGTTATTACCTCCCTTCAACTTCTAGAGCCCCACAAAAAGTTTTTGTTACATCAATTACTTTCCCCCTACAGAACTTTTTAACCCAGAGAAAAACTGCATTGAAGAAAAAAACTAAGCGGTAACAATCTGTACATACATCTATTTCTTAATTTGCCAACGACAATCCGTACAGAGGAACTGGAAAGGGATTCCAAGAGGGTGAAGAATGTCCTCCTGAAGTCTAGGGACTACATACAAGCAACCAACCTACCCGTGATGGGAGCGTTGTTGAGGTTCTCCACGCCGGCCAGGTCCAGGTAGTGGCTGCGGCGGTCGGGGTTCTCGTGCACGTTGGAGCGGTTGTTGCTGGCGCTGGCGCGATGGTGGTCGGTGATGGCTGTGGCGATGTCTTCTCACCTCGTCTGCAGAGTGGTGGTGGTGGTTGTGACTGTCGCTGTGGTGTCTCCTACAAACAACCACGGATCAGTTAGTCCAACAAACATTTGGAAACAATTTCTCCACATAAAACTTTGGCCAAACTGTGCCAGATTCTTTATTGGAAAATGGTTTTGAACTTAAGCCAACTGATAGAAGAACAAGGAACTCAAATGCTATGTATATTCACAGTGGTATCAGACTTCACAACATCAGAACGTAACAGCACACACGGGTGCCAACTGACCTTAGCTGTGCTATTCTGTGCTGCTGTTGTTGCTGTTGTTTCTCTATGGACTTCTGTACAAACTCATGCAGGTTCAGCTTCCTCATCTGGTCATTGGCACTGCAGGATTTCTTGCGAGTCGGCGTCTCGCATCCTTCTGACATTCCCTCGTTCCCGCTATCCCCGTCCTCGTCCTTCGCTACCTCCTGCTCCATCTCCGTCTCTACCCGTTTCTCGGGAGCCTTGCCGTTCTTGGGAGGCGACACCGTCAGGCGCAGTTTTAACGTCTTGTTCTTGTTCCCCTTGCTGCTGCTCTTGCTGGGCAGGTGTACGGAGTTCCCCACCATCTCGTAGATGGAGTGGAGGAGGGTGGCGAAATCCTGGGACAGAGACACCTGTCAGTTAGTCATGGAACTGCGACAACAAATCTGCTAACATTCAACTTTCGAGAGAAACTTGAAAAATACAATTTAACTTCTTGGTGATTGAAGGGTTAATGTATTTATATTACAAAAAAATCTTTGGTTTATGTGAGTTCCAAAAGGATATTGTTTTAACCACTTGACGGCCTTTATATATCTTGTCAAAGAATTAGATGTTAGGTATGTTATGAAAATGTTGACTTGAACTCACCTCTTGAGTAACCTTGCCTTTGCCATCAAAGTCGTACAAGGTGAAGGTCCACTCCTGCTTGTCGCTTCCTTCCACAGACACCCCACATTCAAACTCCTGTACGAGAAATACAACAACTAAGTCAAGCTTCAAATAACTGCAAATCTAACTGTTTATCTATACTGTGATCCTTAGATTTGTTTCCTTTAGATGATTCTAGATGATTCAGAATTTCACAAAATAACACCAGTACAAATCGTCAAATGATAGTGGTCATGACAGGAACAACATCTAATCCAGACGTACCTCCACATGCAGACCAGGTTTTTCACCTTCTTCCACCGAAGATTTGCTGTCTCCATCGTTTGGCCCTACGACATAAAATGGCGTCCGTCTTCCGGGGTCTGGTGTCTCCGGAGGAAGTTGAACTGAAGAGGGGGAAAAGCGGTTATCATTATTGGTGTATTGGACTCATTTCTTCAGTTTATATCTTCATCACAATGTTAACATGCCAGTGTAAATTCGTAACTCATGTTGGCTATGTTTCCGAACGACCTTTCAAGAGAACTAAGGCCCGATTTAGACTGGAAACGCTTAAGGGGTTTTGGCCAGGGAAACGTTTCGGAACGGTTAACCGTTCCCGGTCTAAAGAGGAAAAAACGGTTTGTTATGGGTTTTCGCGGACCGTTTCCGAAAACCACCTCCATCGTGGTTTTCGACCGTTTCAGAACCCTTCAGTGGGGGGCCCGAAACGCTTTTTGCTAGGTCTAAAGTCAAAGGGTTTCTTGAAACGGTAAACCAGGTCACGTGTCATATGCTAATCACATGCTAATAAGCCCGCGCACGTCCATTTTCTGGTAGATTCGCGCCATATTCGATTGTGTCCATTTTCGCCATTTTATATCATGTATTTCTCGAATTTTCGTCATCCTTTATGTCTGGGGGGATGGCAGAAGGCCAGGGGAGGGTCTGGACCCAAGAATAGACCCGCTGCTTGATCATCTTGTGTGCCGATCAAACTATACAATCCCGCTTGGAGACCTCGCGTAAAAGGGAGGGCATACAGATGCTTGTGGACGGGCTGGCGGCTGAGGGGTATTTATGCACCCCAAAGCAGGTTCGGGCGAAGTTCAAGGCCCTGAAACACAAGTATCATAAGGCCAATGAGGCAAACCGTAGAAGCGGCTCAGGGAGGTCATCATAGGTCACTGTGGGTCAGAAACATCCTGCGCCACGGGCGGCCCGAAACGCTTCCGCCTCTGTGTCTAAAGACGAACCGTTTTCTGTGGCGAAACGTTTCGAACCGTTTCGAAACGGTATACCGTTTCTAGTCTAAATCGGGCCTAAGAATGACAAGATAAGGACAAGATAATATGGGGATGACAAGATATTAAAGGACAAGACAATACCTTATAGTGTGAGGACACTTTGCTGGCCATCTGTACACACACCAGGATCCACAGCATCATCTGTTTCTGCAGCTGACCCTCCACACGTGACCACTCAGCAGCTGACCCTTTGCCTGTG